TGATGGAGGATTGGTGTTTGCTACTGCAAAAAGCTGTCAGAGATTCAGGATGGCAATTTTTCCCTTTGTGGGAACCAAGAATGATTATTTATGGCATGTAGGTTGTTGTAATTTAGACAGAGTTCTGATGAAGAGAGAGAAACAAGGCTCTTTCTCAGGGGCAGAATATGCAGCCTCTTCTGATCCCTTGTTTTTAGTGCTTTATTTTTAGATGTACTATTTTTAAACAGCTTGAAATACAAAAATATTTGCTTTTTTTTCCAGTTAAAAGAAAACCCTGTTGTGACACAGCATGACTCAATCTTTTTATAGCCACATCAAGTACGTGTTGCTTAGGATAATGTAAAAACATACAAAGAATAATAAAGGCAAAAATAAGAAACCAGCAGTTGCTATTGTAACACAAGGTGCAGGACAGCAAAAAAAATGTTCTGTAAATAAATGTCTCATCAATATTTATTATTAATTCCAAACAAAGCAATAATATGCTTTGACCATATCATACTAAAAGTGGTACAGAAAGTATAGACAGTTTTTAGTGCATAGAAAGTATTTTACATCCCCTCTCTTGGTATTAATGTAGCAATTGTCTTAATGTGTTAACGAGTGGGTGTTAAGGGAGATGTACAAAGTGAGAGTAGAATTAATTTTTTAGGTTCTTTAGAGTCTTGATTGTTTTGATGCTGAAGATAATAAAGTTGTTGAGGTGGAGAGGGCAGTGCTGCCTAGTCTGTAGCCAGGTGGTAACTGTATATGCGCTCCTAAAGCAGTGTGGCTCGGAAACAGTAGGCTGCTAGCTCACAGGGTCATCTTGTGACTCATACATGTTATTCCTGTCAGTGCAAAGCAGATCTGATTTTGAGCCGAAAACAGCAACCAAATGAGTAATAACAGCTGACAGTAATGCAGTACACGCCTTTAATTCCAGCTTCGCCAGCCCGGCCTCCATTCCCTGTGCAACGTCAGGCGCTGGGTTTGAAGCTCAGGGAGAGCCTGAAGGAGGCCTGGCAGCCAGGTTGTTCAACACTCGTGTTTCCCCTTCTGTGGCTTTTAGCAGGCTGTTGATGTGTTTTGGGTTTTTTGTGTATTTTTCTTAATCTGCCAAGCTCATCTTTTTCCAGCTGCTTAGGCATTGTTAGTGCTGACACAAAGACTTCATTTGCTTATTTATTGTACAGTTAGATCACATCTTTCACTGAGAAAATCTAAGAGAAGCCAGGTTGCTATTTGCTGACATCCAAACTGCACGGCTAGGTCCAGGGGCGGACCGCAGGCTCTTGAGCCTCTCTGTTCGCCCAGATCTGACCACGCCACAGGGGAGCTCTGTTCGAGTTACTGAGTCCTAGTGCTGACGGGGGGGTGCGGGGCATCTCTACCGGCCCTTGCTCTGCTGGCTCTGAAGTTCCTGGTCAGTCCCAGGAGACCTGACCTGTCCCTGGAGCAGGTGGAGAGGGGTGGAGGGGAAAGCATGTTGTGTGAAGGGCAACAGAGGACAATTAGCAGCTGAGTGAATTAGTCTGAGTCCTCCCGGCAAAGCAGGTTCAAGTTAAGGTGGACCCCAGGTAACTAACTCAGGTGTAAATTGTCCCCAGATTAGAGTACTGCATTTTTATGTGGATAGTAGAGAGCTCTAGCTAAAATAAAGGTTAAATTCTCAAGAAATACGCAGTAAGAACAAACCATTAATGTTTGCAATGTGGGCAGTTGAAAAGCATTGTAATTTTTAAGTACATGTCCTTGATCTTTAGGAAATGTGCAGCCTGGAGAAATACGAAGAGTTGCTTTTACAACTGCTATGATGTGGAGTTTTTTCAGATGATTTATAACAGGAAGATTTTTTTTTTTTATTATTTCAAAACTGTATAAAACCCAGTTAACTGTTAGCTGGACGTGGTTATAGTACCGGTTGGAAGTGACTGAAGTTGATAAATTCAGGTTAGGCTCTGTAGTCATCACTCATGCTTGGAAGAGCAAGAACTCGGGGGTAGGTGGTGTCCTGTAGAACAGCACTCGCTGTTTTGTTGCCCAGACCAAGGAGGTGCTAGCCACTGCGTGTGGCCATCCTGCTGGTGTTAAGTTCCTGGAGAAGGGAGAGTGAGAGCAAAACTTAACCACAGATGCAGTTAGGCACTACTAAAGCTTGGGCTTATTTCTAGATCCTAGGGAGGAGTCTGACAATAATCTGATGATGATTTGCTGCTTCTCTGTATATTTGCATGTAAGGCCATGCTTTAAGGGGAAAAAAGTAGTCCCAAACTACTGATAGAAACTGCCATTTAAAGTGTGATACAATATTGATGTGAACTACTTAGTGCTATCACTCTCAGCTGTCTTTCATGCTATTGCTTTCTTGGATATTTAGGCTGCTGCCTTTTTATTAAATCTCTCTGCATCCCTTTCCATTTGACTGTATGTGATACTGTAGTACTCAGATTTGATTACAGCTGCATGTTAAAGCAGTGTGTAAGCGCTGGGGAGAGCTGCTCTCAGGGCAAGCTGAGCCTTCCTGGCGCTGCCCCTCTTGCTTGCGTGCTGGTTCGCATTGCTTTTGGGAAAGAACCCTTTGGCCTGGTAGTGTGTGTGGCTTAATCACAGTCAGCAACAGTCACTGACTTTTATAAAGCCTGCTGTTTTGCAAACTGTGTGCACATTTTCCATATATCCCATGGCTTTTTGAGTTTTCTCCTCTTCTCGTTGAATTTACTGGGTCTGATGCCATAGCTTCCAATGGGAAGCTTGATTGTTTTCCCACTCTCATTTCTTACACATTTTCTGTAGCTTACTCTATTATCTGATGCTAAACCACATTCTGTATAGCTTTGTGAAGAATGTAATTCTCTCTATTGATTTTGATACTGTACCTTTTTGTCCATCCTGCCAGTTCCTTTTTCCAAGTGTAATATCACAAATAGCTGATGAGTACACACTGGAGGAAATTACGCTTCTCTGTTGGACTTCTGTTTTCTCCAATAACCCGACCTTCAACTCATTTTTTTCAGTCACGTTTTATAACAATTTCCAAAAATGGATTGCTTCCTTCATTTTCTCAGTGCTTCCAGATCACTGTTTCCATTGTGCAAATATAAAATTGACAAGGTTCACGCAAACTAAGCTAGTTTAAGAATGTTATTTTATTGAAGCTCATGTAAGGTTGTGGATTTCAAGAAAACTGCTGAGATTGTGTGTTTTCAGACGTATTTACCTCTGCTGTACTATATGGAAAAGCATTCTTTTAATTCAAGTTTGCAACTGTTCTTCAGTGTTGTTAGCAGTGACGGAGCTGCATCAGTGGTAGCAATGGCTGGAGGCTTAATAGAAAACACACATAAAGCATACAAGTTCTGTGCTGTCTGCAGTAGTAAAATGGGTTTTAGTGCAAGTTAGTTTAACTTGAGATAAAAATCCAGTTGGTCCTTGTTTTTTATGTCAGTCGAGTTGAGATGAGGCTAATCTATAGGCCTGACCCCATTTGTTAATATACATCATGCCGTAGATCTGTGTCTTTATTAGTTTTTGTTGGGTTTTCCACCTAATAGGTGCAGTGAAGTTTGTGGAAAAACATAGTCTGAGACTAGTTTAATATACACTTTTAGCCAACCCAGCTTAAAATAAGAACCTTGTGCTCCCTGACTCCATTTGTAGTTCCCACTCCTATGCCTGGTGTTGGTACAAGTGCTTGACTATTTCCATGAGGAAACGATTCAGCAGACACACTTCTGTGCTAGTACAGTTGCATAGGTCATTTGCTAGTGCGGAAGTGTGTACACACAGAAGTTGCACCTCTGTAAGTTGCTAACGACCCATTTCAAAACATTTGAGTGCGGCCAAAGTGTTCAGAATACCTAAATTTTCTTACTTAATCTGTAAAATTAGCCATTATTTTATTCTGCAAAATACTTTATAATAATGAATTGCTTGTATTCTGATGAATATGACTTGATCCCATAACATACATGAGAGCAGTGTAGCTAAATTACATTGTTTGAAATTGCGGTATTAAAAAATGAGGGGAATACACAGAACTGCCATTTTGTTGGCTACATCTTCCTTGACAGCATACTCGACAGCTTCTCAGTGTAAAATGTGTTAATTCCAGCATCACTAATTTCAGTATTGAGTAAACAAAAATTAAAGTATAGAAAGGCAAGAGGGCAGAACTCCATTAGCATTATCTGCCAGGCTACAGAAAAGAGGTTTGGGTTTGGAGAGCAGATGTATAGCTGAATTAATAGCATTGATCTAGACTGGATTTAAATTTGTGGGTGTATCCATAGAACCTAACTACTCTTTAAATCAGCTGGAAAAAAACAGATTTTGATTTCAAGGGGTACAGCTTGAAATGTCACAAGTTTTCAGTAGCATCCTGAAATGGTAGTCTCTAAGTGTGGGGAGAGAATATCTATTTAGACGTCAGTAAAACATGGTGACTAACAGATCAAAAGGGACTGTTAAGACATGCAGCCGACAAGCTGCATAACATAATCTGAAGAACATCACTGAATACTTTCTGCATCAGGCTCACAGCTTCCATTTGAGTAACAGCATATGTGCAGGTTTGACTTAAAAGACTGTAAAGGATGGAGAATCCACTGTACCCAGTTTAATCGTTCAGGTGGTAATTATCCTCACTACTAATAGTTGCACTGTAGGAGTAATTTTTGCATCCTTAGCTTCCAATACTGCATCCCAGTTGGAATAATTGTTTTTTTTCTGCTAGATTCAGAAATATCTGCCATCTGAAATCCCTTCTGTGTGTAGACCTTCACAAAATCCCATGGAATTTCCTTCAAATTTTTGAGAGCAGTGCAATTATTTAATAGTTCAGAGGCAAGTCAGTTGACATCGTTTATGTGTGCCTTTATATAATGCCTGGATCAAGGAATAGAATTCAATGAAAGAAAAATATTTTGGAAGTTGGAATTTGAATAGATTGTTTTCAGTTATTTAATGCTAATGAGAAACGTGGTAACCTTTTTGATGCTTATTGTGCTTTCCTGCAGGGCAGCAAAGGACACTACAGGTATCACTGGCAGAGCCACAATGTCAAGCACAGTGGAGTGGATGATATGGTCCTTCTTTCCAAAATCACAGAGGATTCCATAGTGGAGAACCTAAAGAAACGATACATGGATGATTATATTTTTGTATCCTTTAATAGTGTTGTTTTTAACGAGGCCCTGTGACACTTGCTGAGCCAATGTGAAACTAATTATATGTATGTATTCTGTTTAAGCAGATTACTCAAAGATGCTGAGCATTTTATGTGACAGTTCACCTGAGATTACACAAAATGCTTTGTAAACTGAGCTAATTATGAGGGTTGAAATTAAGATCTGAAAAATTATTTTAAGGTATTCTTTTTGATATTTGGAATTGTTCTTGTCATTGTTGAAGATAGGCCTGTAGCTCCATATATTTATATATCCACGTGACCCCTGAAGCTACTGCAGTAATACTACTTTTAGGAGCAAGAATTAATAGGTTTAAGGCATATATAGGTGTCTTGATACCATGTTGTCTTCTTTACCTCCCAAATTCTACTGCTTTCAAAATAGCAATATAGCAATTCTGTGACATAACCCCTTTTACAGCTTATTCTGGAATTGTTGATACTGTGAATCATGGGCTGATGGAAACGTGTGAACATCTGTAAATCTACAGTGTTCGCACTTTAATTTTTTTTTGCTATGATTAATGAAAACATGAAAGATTTAAATACCTGAACATATAACCTAACAAGAAAAACAGATTTCAGCACCAGAAATTTGCTTTTTTTTTTTTTTTGAAATTTCATATGAAAGGAATTCTTTGAGATAAGAATAGTCACTATTTCATTTTTAGCTTTCACAATATAACATGAGCTGCAATAATGAATGTGGTAAACACTAGTCAACATGATTATGTACTAGAAAGCGATACTGTTTCTTCTGCTGCTGTAGCCAGGTTTTCATACTTCCTAGTTGTATCTGGAGAATAGTTTCCTTGAAGAGTTTATCTTTTTTAGAAGAAAGGGAAGGAAATAAAACACCTCCTGGCTATTTCCATATATTCAGATTGTTAAGAGCTAAGTAGCAGCTCAATTTAGCAAGGTCTGATAAGAGAAAATTAATGTTGCAGTTGTGCTGACATTTCCATCCGAAACTGCAGAGGTTTTTAATATGTGCATGCACATGGGTTTGGAGCTTCTGTTCAATAAAGTACGACACCATTATTAAATTTGCCTTATAGAAAACATGATAAAGTTGCACAATATTTGTCAAACTATAGTATTGGGGCAAACTATACCACTCTTCCTGTTAGTAACATGAGCGCTTTTGTCCCTGTGGAACACTGCATTTTCCATGCAGTACATTCACAAAATCTGCAGTGCTTTGTGCTGAAGCAATGGGTTTATGCTTTTTTTTCTTATAAAAATAAGTGAGATTAACATGGAGATGTTAATCCTGCTGAAATAAGTATGTTTTCCAAGGGGACTTGTGGTCACATGAGGGATCAGAGTCTTCTTCTAAAGCATTATAATTCCTTTGTGTAGGGAGAAAAGACTCCTTTTGCAGTTCTGTGAAAGCTTTTCATTCTAAAATGGAGATCATCTCTTGAATCTTTCAATTGTTTGTATGTCCACCCATGAATGAACATTTCTCTGTGGTACGTTGCATGGAGATTACCGAGTCATCCCAGAAAATGCTGGTATTGTTTACAACAGAAAACTGTTACTTCGGATGTTTATACTGACACAATGAATGCTTGATTTATTATATTCAAGACCCAGATGTTATCACTCTTCTTTGAATTAAATGAAAAAATGTATGAAAAAAGCATTGCAAATTAACAATACAGAAATTATGTTCACTGAGTTATACTTCTTCTCTAACATATTATCATTTTGTGCTGTGGCACCACAACGAAAGATCCATATGTAGGATAATCCAGCAGGATAAATTTGTTAGTTTTCCTACTTTTGTATGGAAAGCTTAGATAGTAAGTTTGCCTATGAACAATTGCAGATTGTTAAATGAAACCTGCAGTACAACATTTTGGACTCATTGACATGGGTACATTGCTAACTCCCAGCTCAGGGAACCAGTCCTGCCTGTAAAGTAGTATCTGTTGCTTCATATATGTGTACTGCAGTTCTAATTCCAAAGGTTTCTGAGGTATTTTGTAAATGTAGGTACATGCGCAGCTGAATGCAGAACGGTGAAATACTAACATTCAAAATGTTGCAAAAAAGCTTTCTGGGACTAATAATAGCTTGAAACTGAGTGTCTTCTCATAGGGCAGCCTGCAGGATAAGACTCCTAGGGACTGTTAATAGTTACACTCATAAAATAACACCACATACTGAATTACCTAATTCCCTTCGCTCCCCCACTAGTACATGCAGCTGAGTAATTGTCCAATTTAGCTCAGTAGTGGCTGTTTCCATCTGACTGTGCGTGCTCAGCACTATCTTTGTGAGATCAGAATGTGTCACTATACTATATTCTGCAAAGGTCAAAACAATCTTTTTTAATACTGACAATACGACCTCCTCAGTTACAAAGGAGTAAACTAGTTTAAATACGCTGTTTCCTTTCTGTATTTTTATTCAAGGTGTGTCATGTTTGGGTCTCTAATACACGTTTCTATACTTAGCTTGTCCTAAAATAAATATTTTGATAATATGAAAGTATCCCATTGAATGACATGTTTATATTCTTGTAAGCCTGCTAATTTCATTTTTATTAGCAATTGTTGTAAGCTGTGGGTTTTTTACTATTATCTGAAGCTGTGCTGTATTATGTAATAGATGGACAAGTTATTTGGCAGTCACTAGTGGTAAGATAATACTTTATGAAACTGCAGTTACCTTAACTTCTTTTGAATACAGACATATATTGGCTCTGTATTAATCTCTGTGAATCCTTTCAAGCAAATGCCATATTTTGGGGAAAAGGAAATTGAAATGTACCAAGGAGCGGTAAGTAAAGCAGTCAAAAATGTACGGCAGTATTCAGGGGCACGTAAATATTATTCTACACGGTTAAACTCTTGGAAGCATTTGTTTCAAGGTTTTGGTAGCATTGTGCTAGCCTGGGAGAACTTGGCTGATATCCATTACCATATATTGAGTCTTCAAATTGAAGTCCCTAGAACATAGAATTAGTATTTCAAGAAAATACTTGTATTGATTAACTCTAATCCATATCAGGTTTCTCTCCTTGACACGTCCCTCCTCCTGCAAAGGCAGTTTTAAAGCTATTGTATGCTTAAGGTGTGGTGCACAATACAACATGGCCATTAGTGGATTTGGAGACTATGACTTGAGAACGCTCAAACTGGACAAGAACAAAAAAAAATAGAGATGCCAAAATTAGATGCCACTTTCAGAAAACATAGCTTGAAGAGTGAGTCAGCAGAAGGACATTAGGGACTTAAAATTCAGTTTCCCACTCTGCTCGAGTTGGGCATGTCCATAGATTTGGGAAACCATTCGGTTTGGATGGACTCAGTGCATGAAAATGAGACATACAGCACCAGGCTCTGTGTAGCGGTTTAGGTAGTTTATTGTTAGCACGTGACCACTGGTGGAATAGGCTTAAATTATGTGAGTTTCTCTTGGACAAGTAATATATTTCAAGCACAGACCATTTTTAGAACAGGGTGTTCATGATAGTTTAGGAGAAAATTATGGATGAGAGAAAGATCAGTAACAAAACCCAGAGACTTTGGTTTGTTTTTATTAAACGAACAAAAAAATTCCTAGGGAAAATTCAGTATAAAGTGGGATTCGGAATTGTTTTTCCAGGAAAATAATTCTTCCAATTTAAATAAAAATTTATATTGCTCATTCTGCGTTGTTTAAAGCTGTGTTGAAAAATTATTCTCTATTTCCCCTCCTAGGCACAATATGAAAACCCACCACATATTTATGCTCTTGCAGACAGCATGTACAGAAACATGATTATTGACAGAGAAAATCAGTGTGTCATTATTAGGTAAGAAAAAGATCTGTAAAAAAATATTTTATCATTTTCTTTTGTTGTTTTAACTTCAAGAAGGAGAAAAGTTTATTTTTTATTATATCAATAAAAATTTTCTGTGTCCATGACCACTGAACATTTTGGGGTTTTCTAGGATAGCTAAGTACTTTCTTACCCTCCGTTTTGTTTTCCAGAGAAGTCCTGATGATAGCTTCACCACAAGAAATCTCTTTCTCACATAGCCAGCTTCATGCCCAGTACCAAAACTGCAGTAGCTTGAATGACTACATGAATGAGATAAATTAAAAACTATAGCAGCCACAGATACCGTTAAATCCAGCATTCTCACATTGACTGCATTTACCATACTCTGTTTTTAGTACTATTTCTTTTCTTTCCCCTGTTTAAAATAAATGTACTTTTGTTCCTTTTGGAATTTTGCTTGCATTCAGAGACAAAAGGAGGATAGAGATACTGGAAAATTAATTTTGTCTTCACTATTAATCTATTTTAATTATTAGGCTGAGGGAATTCACTGTAGAATTATTACTGAACTTTTTTAATGACAAGCATTACTTAAGTCAAAGTTTTGGGTCCAGAGGTATGCTTTTTTCTCATCTATGGGTTTATAGATGGTGTATGATAAAAGAAAGTGTGCAGAGAGCAAAAACTGCAGGATGTTGGAGCTGGCACACTATACTACTTCTGACTTCCCTTCTTACATAGAAAACTTCAGAGGTTCACTGTAGTGCACCTGGAACTGTACTTTACCTATGGCAGTGGTCTCCAAAGTGGGGTGCGTGCATCACGGGGGCTGTGCAATGAAATCCATGGGGATGTGGGAAGAAAATACTAGACCTTCAGTAGTAGATGTATGTAATTTACAAATAGATAAATTGTATACATACGTTGGGAGTGTGTGCTCAGACATTTTTTTAATGATGGTGTGTGTGATCAAAAGCATTTGGAGACCACTGGCCTATGAGACTTTCCCAAGAACTAGGGAAAAGAAAGAGGAGAAGAAGAAAAAATAATTTGAAGGGAAACTGTAATTATTTTATTAATAACGGCTTTTCTTAAGCTTTCTGTCATTTCTCTGTGGAACATGCTGAGAGGCAGCACTATGAATTTAACTGCTGTTGAATTTAACAAAAGAGAGGTTTCAAGATCGAATGTTTTCTTTGTCCAGGGGGCCCTCTCTGGTCTTCTCCCTGGGGTGGCTGTGTGCCCTGCGATGTCACGGCCCCAAGGGGGCTGGATGTCAGTGGTGATCAGATGAGATGCCATGTAACGTAGTGCGCTCAATCCCTTAGGCTGGAACCTGCCAGGAAATGGTGGGTGGTCACTGATTTTTAAGCTTAAATGCCCTTGCACCAGCCACTTACTAATTTAATGTTGTCGCAGGAGTATTATAAAGAACTGGGCGTAGTATGTGGGTCTTACATGTGGAGGTGCTCCACGTGCCAAGTGTTCCTGTACCCTACTGAATGATCCAGTGTGAAAATAAATTTCATATTAATAATATCTCACTGATGAGCTACCACGAAAGCTTGTGAGGAATAATTGTTTGAAAGTTATATTCACTGTTTTACTTCTTTGAATCTATGCCTGGGGGTTGTCCAGGCAGAGCTTTCCTAGGTGACATGTTACAGTGGAAAAGTGCACAGGGGTGTCCCTCTTAGTATCAGCAAAGTGTGTGTAGGTATGTGGAAACTGTTGATTTTACATGTAGGAAGGTCAACCAGCCATTAACAGTTTGCTACACTGAGCCTCCCTATCCCTGGGCACCTGGAGCATGGTGCCATATGAAACAAAATGCCCGGAGCTCATAGTCCTGTCTCTCGTATACCTGAATTGCTGCCTGAGCTTAGTCTTCCTTTTTGGAAAACTGATGCCTGTTGCCGTGCTGAAGTTACTAGTCGCATATAGTCAAATTCAGACCTGTTAGGAATGGGTAAAATTGGGATTTATTTTGCTCTTTGAACAAAGTAACATCCCAGAGCCTGGGATGTTTCACATGAGGCTGAATTTATAGTGAAAACCTTAGAACTGTGGTGAACTGTGATTAAAAAACATAATTTTTGATCCATTACTAATGCCTCAAAGTGCAATGAATGCAGAGGGTCACATTTTCAGAGAGCTGAGATGCAGATCTGAGGTGCAGACTTACAGGTTTAAATTCACGTGGGAATTCTTGTGCTTGAATGATGGATGACACACTCTTTGGAGTGTGTGCATTTTGTATGCGCAGAGTGAATTTTCTCTCAGTGTGTGCACAGCCTATTCAAAATCTGCTGGAGTTAATTGAAATCTACTGCAAAACTGAAACAAGAAAAATTATGTTTACCAGGGACATTTCAGAGAGGAGTTCTTCCTTTCTACACATTTATTTTTTCCTATGATTATTCTTATTACAAACACTGTAAAGACTGCAGACTAGACTTATAGGTAGTTTTCATGCTGGTATTTGATTTTTTGGGACACTTAGAAATTATTTTTTTGAAATCGAGTAACTCAGCCATTCACAAAATTGATTTTGTTTGGTTGATATTTTAATCCTTTCGACCACGTTTCATGTGAACTGTTTAGATACATCCTGTATTTTATGATTTTAATGTCATCACTATTTCTAATGACTAGAGCTGGCTCAAGACTGAAATTTCTTGAAGTTTGAAATTTGTTTGCTTATGTTTTATTTCATAGACCAGAAGGCACTGAAATTGCTGGCAGACTAGAAGCTCCCAAGATGCTGCAGCTCTTGAGTGAAATGAATGTTCTAGCTAGCTTCATGTATACTACCACACCATCAGTTTCATTTAATAGCTGCCAAGGACTTTACCATTTCTGCCGCTAAACTGGTGATTCTCAAAAAATTGAGATATAGTTCTGTCTGTCTGTCTTCAGTTCCACAGAAATCTGCTGAAAAATGAACCTTTGCGTTTCAGTGAACCATAGTTTTTGCCATAAAAATTTGTTCTGTGGAAAATGAGTGGTCATAACAATGTGGTTATTATGAGGTGCCTGTTTGCTTCTCTACTTCACAACTAGTCTGAATTTGGACTTCACTGAAAATCCCTGGTGGAACAGAAGGGACAGAGCAAGCTAGTACAGAAACAAACCCACGTTTTCCCTTCTTTTCCCCCCTCAAGATGGCAGATTGCCCCTCTAAAGAAAGGTTTGCAAAGAGAGAACATAAGAAATAAGGTATAGACTGGACTGATTCACAGTCAGATCAAAAAGGCTATGTCTGGCTTATGGTGCACATGGAGTCCCAGGAATGGAGACCCAAGGATGATGATGATGGGGAATGGGTTGGTGCACACCTGTGTCTTCCTACAGCATGTGGTTTGGGCACCTGTGGCATCTACCTCCGGACCTGGGAGGGGACATGGATTCCTAGAGACTAGACCTAGATTTCCGGGCAGGTGAAGGTCCCTGCTGTGTCCTGCTGTAGTCAGGACCTTGTGTGTGTGTGTGAGGATCACACACCCTTTTGCCAGGCTGTTTAATTCCAGAATTCCAAATAATGCATTTAGACACTGATAGAAAAAGCTCACACTCTTCAAAAAGTCAGTGAATGAACTAGGAAAGCAGATCCAAAAGAAAATACAGTTCTCTGAAAGGCTGAATAGATAGCAACCAAAAATAATCTTTTTATGTGATAATATTAATTCAAAAAGAAAAACTGGTACCAAACAACCTTTCCAGGGCCAGGGAAGCCTGTTTCATTAGCAGAGTAATTGCAGCATATATGCGTATGTGTTAAGAAAATTACATGTACGCATGTCTGATTATAGCTGAGGAGCCATGAGCTATTTTGAATGGCTGTTAACAGTCTAAACAATGAGGTTATTCATGGGCTGGATCCTGGCAGGGCTGAATGCAGGTGCAGAGTGTGTGCTTAGGTGGGAGGAGGGAGCAGTTCCCGTAGTTGTCTTCCCTTGTTTTGTATGCACCGGGCAGAATTATAAAGGAAGTTTACTCATATGAGTAACATATGAGCAGTTACACTGGAGTTTGATTTCTCATTAAGCTTATGTTCTACTGAGGCGTGCTATTTAATTTAAGCCTGTGTTGAACCAAGCTCATAAATGTCTACTACAGCAGACTGTTCACATTTCTTCCTTGCTTGAAGTGGCGGCCCTTCCAAACTATCAATAAAGAGGTGTCCAATCAAGATTTTAATTACAAAGGATTGTCTGTTGTGGTTTTTAATTCCTTCTGGACTATCATTGTCCTTTACTTAAGAGAGTGGAGGTTATGATTAATATTTTTCTATTATGTAGCAATAAATGTGTTTCTTCAGAGTGTTGTAAAGGTTTTACCTTTTTATGAAGTTGTGGACTTTATTTTCCCTTTCTTTCTGTGATCTCTGCCAGGAGATGCTGCAGTTGCTTTGAAGCAGTTTTTCAGTCTTCCTTGTCTGTAATTTTAGTTTACATTTTACATCCATGTGGCAATGTTTGAGTAAAGCTATGTATGATGACTGCATACCTGAAAAGACAATACATCTTAAATACTACAAATACATGTTAATGGAGAGATCATTTACCACCTCGATTGTTTTTAGTGAACAACTCATGTCTATCTTAAGTCTATTAAGTTCAAAATTTAATATGAGATTTCTAGTCAGCTTCTGTATCTCAGCTTTCCAGAAGACTCAAGTGACTCATCATTCTAAAACATCTGTACAGAATCTAACTGGAAATTTGGTTGAATTTTAATGAGGAAGTGGTAGAATCGTAAGTCTAACGCAGTAAGAAAAGTTAGGTAAAAGCTCTGATTCAGAAGGCAAAAATACTTCGCTGAAGTTATGCTGCTGAGGTTTCTCTGAACATAATTAGAGAAAGTAAATTTTCTATGTAAAGAAACTAAAAAGCTTACCCAAACACATCAGAGTATTTTACATATGCAATGTTCTTTACTGGCAGATCCAAGAGTTCTTTATAAATATTTGTTATTAAAATTTCTACGTTGTCCTGGTGATGTAGATAAGTATTACTTGTATTGTTCTACAGCCAGGGATACTATATTAAATGTCACTCAGAAAATTAATTTTAGGGAGAAGGATGAGGCTCCTTATCGGATTTTGCTTCTCTACTGTAATCACAGATTGTATTTCCTCTGGGAAGGAAGGAAGGAGCAAAAAATTTTCTCTCTGTGTTTGTAGTCTTGTTCTGATTTCAGCTAAGTGTTAATTGACCTTGCTGAACAAAACGTCACTTTTCTGAAGTAGCAAATAGTGCTAGAAGAAACAATATGTCTTTCAAAGCATTATCTTTTTTGGTAGTGATTGAGACTATGTAATATTTTTATTTTTAGTAAGAAGAGTCTCTGAGAAAATTGTCAGTACCACAATCCACTGACTTTAAGCCATTATAATAATTTTTTCAATCTTTAAAAACCTCCGTACTTCCAACATACTTAAAATTACCAAGCTAGAAAATGATTCTTACATCTTCTTAAAATAGTTTTAATAGCAGCAGAGCAGTAAGATATATGTGAAAAAGCTTCTGTATGAGAATCATTTGGCAGGAATG